AAAAAAAGTAAATTATTTCATCTGGGTGGTAGTGGCACATGCCTTTAATCTCAGCACTCAGGAGGCAGAGGCAAGCAGATCTCTGTGAGTTCAAAGCCAGCTTGGTCTACAGATCAAGCTCTAGGACAGCCAGGGCTAACACAGAGAAACTCTGTTTCAAAAAAGCAAAAAAAAAAAAAAAGTAAATTATTTCTAAATAGGGATATTTCACTAAATCCTTTTGAGAAGCCAAGATTTAGTACAAAGAATAGTTAGGTCAGTTAAAATACACAATTTTTTTTAATATAAGATGAGCTTTTTTCTTATTGTCCACACAGTTAAGTAAAAGACATTTAACAGTTTATGTGCAATCTATCATTTACCCAATTAATATATTTACAGAGTGAACATGAATTACTTTTAAACTAATAACTCTCAATTGTCATTTGGAAGGAAGAACATGGAATCTTCAGTGACTTTCAAGAAATATACATCAATTCTATGGAGGCAAGGGTTATAGTACTGCTTGCTTAGGGAAAATTCAAGTGAAACATTTCCACTGGAGATAACAATAGACATGTGATACTATTTTCATAAGTAACTTGCACCTATATATACTCAGAAATGATGTAAACTTATCTCTAAAAATACCAGCAAACTTACATTTGCTGTTGTTTGTTTTTCCAAGCTTGTTTCATTTTGTAGTTAGTCTTTTTGGAAACATTTTCTGAGTACATTTGCGTTCTTCTTCTCTTTTCAAGAAGAGAATTAGTAATATTATCTATATTGAAAATAAAGGTTAATGTTAAAAGTAACTGCAATTATGCCTAAATATTCATGTACATATAAATATGGCTAAAGATTATTAAACAATATCAATGACACTTAAAATTAAATTGAACTATATCACCAGCATGGTGTCCAAAAAGTTCAATATTTTAGAGTGCTTGAAATTTAGCATTTTCAGATAGGGATGTACAAACAGTGAAGTCAATGCAAATAAAATAAAATACACAAAACTCTGAAATTTGTAATATTTTTGTCCTATATATTTTGGATGGCAAATGTTCAACCTTACCTTAGTTCTGATTTTCCTAATTGAAGATAATTTTAAAACTGAGGCACAATAATAACCAAGGAGAAAAAAGGTCAAGAATAGACTTTTAGTGCTTTACAAACAAACACCTTAATAGAAGGAAAATACTTCTAAATTAAAAAAATACTGTTCAACTGAAATTTTAGTAAGCTTCTGACCTGTGATTAGAAGTCAAAATTTAACTATAGAAATGATTCTCAAAGTATAGTCTTATAACTCAAGCTTTAAAATATATAAAATACTCTCTGAAAAATTATAATCCAAGTCATCTTTAAAATAAGTAAGATATTTGTATAAAATATAGTCAATAACAATTCTAAATATATTTTTTATTTAAAAAGAGGCAAAAGACCAAGGATGGGAAAATAGTTTTGATCTGGGGAGAAGATTCATTGATTAAAATGCATGCTATGCCAAGCACAAGGCCCTGAGTCTGAATCCCCACCACCCACATAAAAGCCACAGGTGATACTGTGTGCCAATGACCACAGCACCAAGGGGCAGAGGCAGGCAGTTCCCTGGGAGTCCTTGGTCATTCAGTCTTGCTGAAATGATGAGGTTCAGATACAAAGAGATCCTGTCTCAAAAAATAATTGGAGGGGCTGGAAAGAGATTTCTCAGTGGTTAAGAATATTGGCTGCTCTTCCTGAGGACTCAGGTTCAATTCCCTGGACCCACATGGGTGCCTCACGACCATCTATACCTTCATTCCTAGAGGATTCAATGCCCTCTTCTGGATTTTGAGGGCAAGAGGCAAGTGTGTGGTACATACATACATACATGCAACACACATACACACACACACACACACACACACACACACACTAAGTAATTGAGGAAGATCTTCCAATTTCAACCTCTGGCTGCCACATGCACCCACATACTTACACACACAGGTGCATACCTACATAACATACACACAAATAAAACTGAAAAATTATTCATGTAAATATGGGCATAATTTAGGAATTGTTTTATAAAGTGGATTTTTAGCATTAAGTAGAGCAGTGCATAAAAATTCAATCCCTCAAATAATGTTTGCTAAACATATATTTTATCATAAAGAGTAACCACTTAGTAGCTATAATGAATCTATACTATTACATAACATTTTATACTTTCAGATCTATAACCATAAATTTATGTAACATATTACAAAACAAACTCTTTGTCATTACCAAATAGGAAAAGAAACTCTCTGGGAAAACTTCATAATATCAATAATTTCTATAAAAGATCAATTATTATTAACTCTTAAAAAAAGAATACCGTTCCCCAAACTGGGTGTGAAGGCTCATGCCTGTAAGTCTAGCACCCAGAAAGCTGACAGAGGAGATCTATAGTTTAAGCCTAGACTGGGCTTCATGTCAAGTTCCAGATCAGCTCCAACTACATAGTAAGATCCTGTCTTAAAAAGAGCAAGCAATACAAAATGTTAACAAAGGAATTAACAAAGACTATATTTAAAAAGAGTTTATATATCTGGTAAACATAGTATTTAAACTTCAAGTCTTTCCCATTCACAACTTTTATTTTAGATATTTCACTTTATGTGAATGAATGTTTTTCATGCATAGAACTTGTATATGACCAGAGGGATCAGAAGAGGATGTCAGATCCTCCAGAACTGAAGTTGTAAATGCTTATGAGCTACATGTGGATGCTGGGAACCAAACTCAGGTCATCTACAAGGGAAGGAATCAATGTTAATTGCTAAGATATTTTTCCAGCACCCTCAAAACTACTTTTAGTATAAAAGTAATTGCAAAGGGGTTGGAGAGGTGTCTCAGTGGTTACAAGCTCTTGCTGTTCTTCTAGAGGACATGAGTCCCTTTCCCAGTACCCATGTTATAAAACTCACAACTGCCTGTAAGTCCAACTCCAGGATATCCTACACCATCTTCTGAATGCTGCAGACACTTAAAAGTGCACATACATTCCACTCCACCCCCACAGAGACACATAATTAAAAAGAAAATAAATCTTAACAAGTAATAATGAATATTAGAGTCTTTAGGTTTATGCTTTCCTTCACAAAAAAAAAAGGAATTCAGCAAGAGTCCTACAAAATAAATTTAAAAAATGAAAAGCTGATACACAGAAATACTTGTGTGCACCATCACTCAGTCTGTGAACAGAAAGAGTTGCCGAAGCCTTTCCCATCTGATTTTCTCCTAAAATTCTATTTCAGGCTCACAGTTTCAATAAAATCATTCTTACTTTTTTTTAATTATGGAGAACTTTAAGTGGAAAATTTTAAGTTTTTAAATCACAAAATTTATGTGCAATCCTATGCTAAAAAGGCATTGAATGACAGCTATACAGAATGCTGATTAACATTTCCTTTATAAAAATGAATATATAGTTTTAAACAATTTTCTGGTAACATACTTATCTCCAAAAACACACCTCTAAGTTTATCCAACACATTGCGCATTTCATGTCTGTGAAGAAATTACAATAAAAAAATTAAAACTGGAAATATAATTTAGTGGCAGAGCATTTGCCTAGCACACAGAACACTACACAAAAAGCACTTTTAACTATTTATAATATATAATGCATAGTTTGGAACAAATGTCATATGCAATGCAATATAAAATATTTCTTGGACAACTAAAGTAAACTTTATTATTTTATTGCTGATAATTCATACATGTCTATTCTCATTACTTTCTTTTATCTGACTCCCACTTTTGCTGAACCCCTTCTTCTCAACTAGCCTCCTTCCTATTTTCATGTGTGTACGTGTGTGTGAAAGAGAAGGTCTTATGCAGGTGGTCATAGTTGCTATGTGTTTGTGATTACAAGGTCTCAAGGAGCCCAGGCTAAGCTTGAACTAGCTATATAGCTGAGAATGATCTTGAATTTCTTTTGAATTTCTGATCTTCCTGCATCTACCTCTCTAGAGCAGGAATTACAAGCACTATTTCTGAAGTACTCTATTGAAATGACAAAAAAAAAATATATTTGAAAACATTACCCCATATCTTCATCCACTTCTTCAGGAGGGCATTTCTTCTCTTCATCAGCTGCAGGAGGACATTTCTTCTCATCTTTGTCAAAGAATAGACTCTTTTCTGTATTAACAATAAAAATGAAAAACACATTTGAAATTAATTATATTAGTACTAGTTAACTAAGTGCTAGCTTGATTTGCATTTCTCTGGGAGTTTGGCCAATGTAAATTTTTGAAGCAGCTATAGAAATGAAATAATTTCTTTGCAGATTCTATGAAATCAATTCACAATTTACCAACATTTTATAGGAACAGTTTTCAAGCCTTCCTGAGGCAAATCCATTTTAAGTTATTAATTATTTCTCAGTATACTGGGACTACAAAACCAAGAGGAGCTATATGTGTTGCTTAAACTCTGGTACAGAAATATACAAATAAAGTTAGAAATGGAGTATCAGAAAATATAAGATTAGGTAAAAATCAAATGCCCAATGCTGGATATGCTGTACCTTCAGATAAAGAGTTCTGGGAAACATTCAGGTCATCTTCATCATCGAAGTCAAAAAGCACTAAGCGCTCCTCACATGGTACTGCCATAGCTCTCCACAACCGCCTCCTACTGGCAAACAGGCAGGGGTTTTCTTAGTTAAAACACAAAGGCAAAGAATCTCACAAGTTATCTGCATCCAAAGGTATCATTTAAATAAATGGTTAAAATGTCAAAAAATTAAATAAGAATTATCTTAGCTCAATGAAAGATTAAGTTTTTCCTCTTTTTACATTTTTAAATAATTTTTCTTTATTATTGAGAATTTCATATACATACTCAATGAAATGTGACATATATATCCACTTCCCCATCTCCATCTCCTCCAGGTATCCCATTTAATATGTTCTTCTCCCAACTTTGTTTTCTTTTAAGAAAAAAAGTATACTCTTGGATCAACCTGTCATTTCTCAATTTTAAAAGGCAAACTTGGCCACAGCCTACACTATATGAGTTCCCCCAACCCAAAAATGAGCAAAATATGATTGCACTCATCCTCTGGGACATCTAAATTTTGGTGCTATCTCTCACAGATTCATTTAAACATTGAGCAAGTCTGTATCTCAGTTTTAAAGATTTACTTATTATTATCACTATTTATTATTATTAAGTACACAGTGTTATACCTGCATGTATGCCTGCACACTAGAAGAAGGCACCATGTGAGTACTGGAAATCGAACCCAGAACCTCTGGGAGAGCAGTCAATGCTCTTAACCTCTGAGCCATCTCTCCAGTCCTGTATCTCAGTTTTAAAGTCGAGTCATGGTACTACCCAGGATAACATACATGGCAAATATTCATGGACAAAGACCCTCCGTCCATCTACAACAAACCCCCACCATCACCACTCATACAGAAAGGCCTGATATTTGAAAAGATGGGGATTTAGGGAAGCTGAGGATTTCAAACATCAGAAGACTGCAAGTTCAAGGCCAGTCCAAGTTAGCCCAGGCCTGAGTTATGAAAGGAGATCCCACCCTACAAAATCAAAGCTGACAGAAAAAGATGAATATTTTGGTGCTGGGCTACAATCCCAATACGGGGTCGATTGAGGCTGGAGGATTAGTGGTTAGAACCCACCCTGAGTTACTTATTAATCCCTTGCAATCTCTCCTCTCTCTCTCTCTCTCTCTCTCTCTCTCTCTCTCTCTCTCTCTCTCTCTCTCTCTCTCTCTCTCTCTCTCCTCCTTTGCCACTCCCTTCTCTCTAACATCTCGAGAGTCCATATCAAATTAGCACATCATACTGAGGAAAATGAAGAGAGGTCTTCTTCTAACAAATTCTGGGCACCTGACAGGAGAAGCCCTAAGAGCTCCTCACCCATGACTCCTGCTCCCTCCCGACCCCGTTCCTACCCGCCTCCCACCTTCTTCCCTATCCCCACTCTCCACTTCTATCTCCAGGCTCCAAGATTGTGCCCTCCAAAGGGTCCCAATCCTCTGCCAATAGTGAGGTCCTCCACCTCCATTTTCCTGTCAGAGGTCACAGGAACTGCAGCCCTTCGGGAGAATTTTCCTCACTAAGCGCCACCTCCTCAAATGGCCCCCCTTCCCCCAAAAAAAGCCCACCAGAGCCAAACATCGCTTACCGGTTATCTGACAGGGCTACCTTCCTGTCTGCATACCCCCGCACTCGGCGTCTCAGCCGTGAAAGCGGCATGGCAGTGCCTACGGCCTCCATGGAGGCCATCTGTTTTGAGCGGGAGAAAAGCCGGCCTCAAGCAGGGCCCTCGCTGATTGGCTGAACATGCCCCGCACATGCGTAGACGGAGTGTTAGGCTCACTCCAGTTGAAGGGCAAAATGGTTAGAGTCTTGAGGCGGGTGTTCAGGCAGTGGAACTGGATTACTGACTTTAGGACAAACGTTTTCCAGCTTCTAGGTTTATACTCCTTTACAGACTTGAAAATTAAAAGAAAATGTGTAAAATATGAAACACAGCAAACTTGAAAATTAAAAGAAAAGGTGTAAAATATGAAGCACAGGGAATACTCTGTTACATTATTTCAACTGTAGAGTCTCTTGTATGCATTTTTGATTTAGATTTATTTATGTGTGTATTTAGTGTATATGTTTTTTTTTCTACAGGTACATATGCACACTGTATGTGTATAGGCTGCTCTCAGAGATCAGAACAGGGCATCATATCCTCTACAACGTCTGGTCCTCCCATCTGTACTTGCTGAGATTGATTACAATTGTGTACAATTGATTACAAGAGCGTTCTCTCTAACTCTCTCTCGCTCTGTGTGCATGTGTGTGTGTATATATGTCTGTCTGTATATCTATATCTCTCTCTCTCTCTCAGACGTGTTTATTAGTGTTTTTTGATGTATGTGGGTCATCTGTCTATGTGTTACTTTCATTGGTTAATAAAGAAACTGCCTTGGCCCTTTGATAGGACAGAAAATTAGGTAGGCAGAGTAGACAGAACAGAATGCTGGGAGGAAGAAGGCAGTGAGACACACGCTATAGCTCTCTTCTCCAAGATGGATGCAGGTTAAGATCCTTCTCGGTAAGATCCTTCTCGGTAAGCCACCACCTCATGGTGCTACACTCATTAATAGAAATGGGTTAATCAAGATGTGAGAGTTAGCCAATAAGGGGATACAGATAACAGGCTAGGCAGTGTTTAAAAGAATAGTTTCCATGTAATTATTCTGGGGCTAAGCTAGCCGTGCAGGAGCCAGGAAGCGGAATGCAGCCCACTGCTCCTTCTACAGAATGGTGCCCAGACGTGATAACTGAATCAACAGAAAGCCCGAGAAAGCTTGGGAAAGAATAGAGTAAAGCATGTTTTCTTGGTAGCAGCAGTTTTTCAGGTCTGCTCTGCTTGCTAGAGGCAAGCAAGTGATCTCATCTAAGAGAGGCTTCCTGACTCAGCTTTAGATGCAAAAACCCTGCAGCTATTTTAAGAGGTCCTGAAACACTTAAATGGTGTCGATGAAAAGCTGAATGCATGCTTTTAGGTTTTCAGTCATAGCAGGAAAAAAGCTGTGCCGTTTTAAAATGCTGGCTTTCTGAGCCGTCCTGCCAGGGCAAACTCTGACTCTTTCAGGCAGGCAGTCTGACTGAGTGTGGTCTGTGAGTAGACTGCTCCAGCTTACTTGCTGGCAGGGACCTTGAAAAACCATAGAGTTGTGGCAATAAAAATGGCTACAGCCGGTACCTCCGCCATGAGGCTGGAAAGCTAAGGAATGGGCTGGATCTAGCCAGCAAAGCCACAGCTTTAATCCTACCCATATTGCTCAGTAATTTAAAGGCTCGTGTGGTCAGAAAAAGAGAGAGAGATACAGTAAAGAGAGATTCAAAGACGAAGAAAACCTCTAAATGGTTTACAGTGTGTTAAAAATATATGCAGGCTAAAAGTTAAAGTTCTTAAAGTAAAAAACTCTAACAGCTGCCCCATCTATGAACTATTGGAACGTACTTTTAGCAAAAAAAAAAAAAAAAAAAGCCCTGTCCTCCAGGTAAGTGCATCATTTTCCATAAGCAGGAGCAGATTCTGTGCTTCCATTGGACTTGTAGGCCATTGAGATGTATGGTAAAGCAAAGCATTTAACTCGAGATTCCAGGAGTAAACAGATAAATGTGACCTTGTGTGATTTAACATTACAGCTAGCCTTCTAGCTTGAGTGTCTTTACACCTTTCCAAAGTTTATTTCTCTACAATTTCTACCAGCTACTCCATTTGTTAAATTTAGTGTTTATCTGTGGATCCTCCTTCTGTGGTTGTGTACAAGATAAACCAGGCAGAGTAATGAAAGATCAGACTCACCAGGTGGTAGTGGCGCATGCCTTTAATTTCAGCACTTGGGAGGCAGAGGCAGGCAGATCTTTGTGAGTTCGAGGTCAGCCCGGTCTACAAGAGCTAGTTCCAGAACAGGTTCCAAACCTACAGAGAAACCTTTCTCAAAAAACAAAACAAACAAAATGACAAACAAAAAAAGTACAAAAGACCAGACTCAGGTCTCTTCAAACAGAAATGTGAGAGTGGATTTATTAGTCTGAGAGGTGGTGACCCCAAAATTGCTTTCTAGACTGAGGAGGGCCTTTTGTGAAGCTATTGGTTCTTCTTCGACAGGTTTTGTCCTTCAGAAGAAACCATGGACCTGTCCAACACCTGCAGAGTGAGGGATGCCTGCACTGGCGACCCAGGCCACCCTGACTAGTTTTCTTCTTATATCAATATCTGGTATAGTCTGACCCTCTACCCTCAACACAGGGTTCAATTCTATTCCTCTTGGATATCCACTATAATCGTGAGCTCTGAGAGAGTTTCAATCCTCAAATAGCCACTTATATTGCAGGCAGGGGATCAAGATTTAAAACTTTTTCCGGGCAGTGGTGGCGCACGCCTTTAATCCTAGCACCCCGGAGGCAGAGGCAGGCGGATCTCTGTGAGTTCAAGCCCAGCCTGGTCTAGAAGAGCTAGTTCCAGGACAGGAACCAAAAAGCTACAGAGAAACCCTGTCTCGAAAATCAAAAAAAAAAAAAAAAAGATTTAAAACTTTTACCATCTGCTTCTCTTCCTGAGTGTGGCCATCCCTATGCTCAGAATCCAGAAACCATGTTCATTTTATCTCCTGACTTGCCAATTGATAGCTCATGCCATAGCTGCTATGGGATCTTTTGCCCAGAGACCACTGGACAATATCTCCCACCTCACCATGCTTAAGGTCCAGGTCTCGGAGGCTTCCCAGTGCCCAGTCATAGAGCACCCTGAGTCTGTTGTGTCAAATATGTGGTCAGCCAAACTTTGGGAGGATGGGATTCTCAGTCCAGACCCAGTTCAACATGTTTATCAGGCATTCACCACTACTGATCTGCTGAACTAGTGACATCACACCCCACCATACTTAGAGCAGTCACAAGTTATGACCAACCTCATGACTGCCATTATGCACAGTCTTACTTGGGACTACTGCCAACAACTCCCAACTGTCCCTTTTACCTCCAGATAAAAAGTGTAGGGTCTATTAGGCAGCACCTGCCTGATAGGCTGGTCATTCAAGCACCACAATCACTAGTAACCTGAAATGAGTTGCTGACACCTTCCTTCCTGATGGG